TTAAAATACATAAGTTCGACCCACATTGAAACTGTAGTTTTTCTCAATTATAACTTTTCTATGCTAGAAAGTAAAAGTGATATACAAAACAGAAAAAAACAGTTCTGTTCCATAGAATGCTTAAACACATGATATATGCTCGTCAGCTTTTCCATGTAAAAAGATGTCAGATATGGATTCAGCTACTCGAAAGACAAGAAGACATAAGCTTCTCCGTATAAAAAAAGGCTACGTGAAATTGTAAGTTTCCTTTATATTTGCACATTTTTCGTAGGCTAGGGCAATTGTAAGGAGCTGGATAAAAATTCTGATGACACAAATGAATACGGCAACTCAGTATACGGAAAGATATCAAGTTTCCCGTACGAAAAAAACCTGCTGAAACCTTGATTTTTACACAATTTTTTACGTTTTTCCCTATAAAATTCTGAGACTTTTTTTGTGGGCCTGTGTAAAATATTAGCAATGTTAGACCTAGCTTTAGCCGGTTAAAGATGGAAGCGGAATTCTTCGGAGTTTATTATCCGTGAAATGCCAGAAATGTTAAAAAAAAAATAAGACTGGATAAGTTTGTTACGCTCTACGGGTTATTATACTAGATCATAGCATAGCATAGCCGCTTTAAATCGCCCGTGTGCTTGTATATTTGGTTACAATACCTATTTATTATTAGGAAAAAAATACTTTTTTCTCAATATCGGCTCAGCAGATTTTTTCCTACCTGACCTTAAAATAATCAGGAACCATTAACAAAATATGCAAAACAAAAAAATCAGAGGTGCAATCACTTTGGGTGAACTTAATCGAGGCTAAGCGTGAAACAAAAAAATATTAAAACCAGAACTAAAATGACCTTCTTTTTCAAAACTATACCTTTTATTGTATATTGAGGCTAGTTTATTTTTTTATACGGTATATTCACCTTATTTTAAATTTATTAGACAGATAACTTAAAATTACAAACGTTTTAACTAAGTCAATGAAGCATTAGGTAAATTTAGTGAATGGAGTATATTCACCCTTAATTTATATTTGTCGCCAAGTCAATCCGTTTGACGTCATTAAAAAACGGATGCATGAAAATTGGAACATTTCTTGTCGGAAGATTTTATTGAAAAACGGACAACTCAGTCACTGGGATGAAGAAACCGAACTTATTACCAGCATCAATAAAGTTTTTATGTCCCTAGGCCATAATCAATCTTTTTAGTGTGTAATCAACTTAAATTTATTTAAATTATTTAAGTACTACCTGAACGACTTGCTAAAAATTAAAATTAATAATCAAGACTAATTGACATCATTAAATAAATAGCATGTGGTGTAACAATTTAAAATGATTTTTTTCTTTATAATCAGATATTGGTAGTGGCACTGTAGTTCAGGGGCCACCAAATGGCTGACCGCGGTCCAGATCCGTACCGCCAGTCTTATGCGGACCTTAAAGACCGTGTACCAACTTAACTCCAACTTCAAAAGCCAGCTTATTTAAAATATTTAATATCTTTTTAATGGAGTAAGACCGGATACACTGAATTAATGTTGTTAAAAGAAAAGTTATCTGGTGAGTAGAGATGTTAAAAAACGTTTTTTTTTTCAGATGTGAAAAAAAAAACATGAAAAAAAACTAAAAAAATACGTTTTTTTTTTCAAATCCGCTGCAATAAAGCATATTCTGTCAAAAATAATATCAATATATATAATATTTTTCAAAATAAAATTTTGAGTAAAATGTATAATAATAGTTTAGGTTAGGTAGTTTCCACATAAGAAACCAATAGCAATGTAAAACTTCTACACTAACAGAAAAAAATTAAGGATAAAATTCCATATTTTTTGCGTTTTTTCGGATAGCTGTATCTTCGTTAAAAATGGTCGTATTGGAGCCGTAAAAAAGCAATTTGAAGATTGAAGTTTCTAGTTTTAAGATTTTTAGATAAAAAACGTGCAACGCTTAATCCTAACGAATACCGTAATAATAAAATTCGAAATTTATTTGGCTTTCTTTTTTGGTCCACGGAATGTTCTGAATTAACCTCCAATAAATAAATTTTCTGCAAGAATTTGCTATTTTTTGAACATTTGAAAAAAAAATAAAAAAACAAAAACAACGGACCGGTTTTTTTTAAGTCGCATCTCTACTGGTGAGACAGGTAACTTACTTTATATATTATTTTTATATTTACCTTAATTGATTTTAAAAACAGTTGGGTCATTCCACGTTACTCGGGGATTTTTGTCCCGCCCGTCACAATTAAAAATTGTGAGTAAAAACTACACGTTATAAAATTTATTTTAAAATATTGTTTATTATGCTTTTAATAAAATATAAGCACAATAAAAATAATATTATAAAATATTAATTTAATAACTTGTGGTTTTTACTCACAATTTTTAATTGTGACGGGCGGGACAAAAATTACCGAGTAACGTGGAATGCCCCAGTTTTTAAATTTAATTACTTAGAAATCAAGGAAAAGGAACAATTTAATAAATATCTACAATTTTGTATTAAATATTAAAATTAATAGACCTTTTTTTTTAATTAAAAATTCGCCAACAGCCCGGACTGCAGCAATCTGATAATCTGATAATTCGAACCTCCAATAAAACTAATAGGTGATCCCTACTGTAGTGTATAGATGACTATTTAAGATGTAAACTTAAAAGCCATTTTAATAATATTTAATTTTTATGCGAGAGATAATGCGCACTATATCGAGTATAATACTATGCTATTTCTACTCCAATTAAGTAATTTATTAGAAACATTTAATATATCCCTACTTTCTCCCGATTCTAATGCCCCTCGTATAAATATATAACAAAAAGGCAGACATCTTTTAGAAAGTTACCTCACTTTATCCCAATTTTAAACTCTATTGCTTCAAATTACAGTAAATATTAAAATCAGTCAATCACTGATGACCAACAACGTAAATAATAAAAACCTACATTATAATATATAGAAAAAACCAATTAAACTAGAAAAAGAAGATTTGCTCACATTTTCAAATTTTATTAATGTTTTTTTGTGTTTTAATCTGATCTAATAATATTATAATTTATATATTATAAAATATTTTGTAATTATCTATTAAAAGTCTCTAGTACTCTAAAATAAATGTTTAAAAATTAATAATAATTAATATTAGTATATTTAAATACCTTTCGTCGAGGAAATTTTAGCTAAAAATACGTTTTTACTTATAAAACGTCGAACAATTTTCTGGCGTATGCAGCAGGATTAAACATCTTTTTACTTTTAAAAGTAATTAATTACTTTTTTATGCAAATTATGTTTATATATTATTAAATAATATCAAGGCTAGGACCCAGTCAAAACGTATTTTTAGCCCAGGTTCAGGCTCTAAATTCAAAGATTCATCCAAACTACAAAATGCTATTCGGCGTATTTTTATCAAAGGTAGCAAAAAATTAAAAACATATTAATAATTTATAATTTAAAATAGGTTTAATAATTTTCATTGGAGTGCAGTGAGCTACTAAGCATCCGCCTTTTAAAACCGGTACTTTTTGCTTCAGATTAACACGATTTTTCTAGCGTATCTTTAAAAACAATAAAATAAGAAGAAGATTTGGTTTCAATTTATTTGCAATTTCTGAGAAACCTGTTTTCAATTTATTATTAAACAATACCTGAACTGTTTTACACTTTATGTGCTCCAATAATCGACATCTTCAACAAGAAAACTGTCAGATAAAATTCCTGAGATATTGTAATAATTTTCAGTTAAGATTATTAACTAAGACATTTATTAAACCAGTAGGCTACCGTCAGAATTTACAATCAATTTAAGACACTTCAGGGTATAGGTATTATATTTATTCGCGAATGTAACTTGTATTTAATAATTATGGTTTATGGAATTCAAGCTTACAAATGAAAGAAAATAGTAATAATGCAAATAATAATTATTATTGCTGTAATTTAAATATTTGACCCTTAAACTTCGCGATATATTCCAAAATAACTTTATCAGTTAAGAGGAAAAATACATTGTAATAATTTATTAAAGTTAATATACTATACTATATTTCATTGTAAAAAGTATATATAAAAATACACGTGTACTTTGATTAATGTGCAACGGATATGAGAATGTAGATATCAATTTCCGCATAAATATTGAAAATATTAAACAACCAAATCTTATAACATCAAATAATGTTTTTAAAACTAAATTAGAAATGATATAAACAAATTGAAGAAATATTGTGATTTCAGACAACAAGATCTATAGAGCTAGGCATAATTTGTCACAGCATTATCAATATGCATTGCAAATGTTCTGCTTGGCTGCAACTATGCTTTACTACTCATCTAGAAATGTTCACTTCCATAAATTCCGGATTAGATATTGTTTTACCATCAAATGGATTTTAAAATTAAAAATTTGTAATATTAGTTAAACTTTAATTAGTAATTAAAATTATTTGCAGTTAAATCTAATAAAAATGGTTGGGTGGGTATATTTTTTGCGAGCCAAAATAAAATTACATAAAATCACATATCTAATGTGTAAAGAATTTTAATTTGACAAAAAGCCATATTTAAGTGCACCTACAGTCATGACTTCAAATAATTTTGCTATTCTAAAAATTACATTGTCAGAGTTGGCCGGTATGGGACCCACTTTAAATTCAATGTGGGTTGTAAACATGATTTGTGGGTAGTCCAGATAGATTGATATTTTTTGAATTTCCTTTACTTTCATGAGAGAAATTTTTTTCAAAAGCTTTCAGTGATCCTATATGAGACTATAAACGCCGGTAGGTTATTTGACCGTTTTATATTAATTTTAATAAATGGGATTTTAATTGTTATAAAGCAAATTTTTAAAAAATTCATTTAATTAAATAGACCCCAATAAGCGATTGTATGATAAACCTTATGACTATGAATAGATAAACGGTTAAATTAAGATATTTTAAAATTAAATTACCTTTATATTCAGAATAAATAGATTGGCACTCACCAACAGTGCCTAAGTTTGCCGTGGTGGTAGACGGAATAGCGATGGTGGGAACAATTTTCCTGATGGCTCCTGTCGGAGGGTTAGAACATTGTGAAGATGCTGAAGAATCGCAGTCCAGGCTTCTTTCCATGTTGTTAATTGAAGGTGAAGGGCTTTTCTCTAGCGCAATGTCACTAGAACCGGTACGAAGCATAGCTTCATCTTGGGCCTGTGCCCTTCTGAGGGCTGTCTGCATGGCCATGACGCGCTGTCTTTCTGTGGTCAAGAGGCATTTTTCGCATTTGCAAGTGCGATACATGCAGTATCGTTTGTGACCCTTTAAGGCAATTTTCTTGCGGTGGTTTCGACAACGCGCGCAATTCGGGGGTGTTCTTGGAGATGCCGAGGTAGAGGACGCGTTTATGTCCATTTTGCTTTCGTACTCTTGCGAATCAGACATAATGTGGTAAGTTGAAAATCTGTAGAAAAAGTTACGATAAAACGTTAACGATAAGTAGCGGCAGCAGCAGATAGGTTAAAAAGTTATTCCATTCCAAATTGGCGGGCACAGTTCACTGCACTTAGCACTGCACCGAGGGCAGAAGATAAGCTGAGTTTTTTTGCGGTGTCACCTACACGGTTTAGGCTGCCGATGATCGGGTCGGCGAGTGTGAATGCAACAGGTTTGCCAAAGAGCACGCGGGATGTCCCGAGGAGCAAGAAAGGCCTGTTTGCATGTGCCGGCGACGGGAGGACGGATACCAGCAAGCAACGGCGTAGGTACGTACGTATGGCTATAACAGCGAGCGGCGATCGTCGGTCGGAGCCCTGATGCACTCCGCTTCCTCGCGAAATCAACTGTCAGTCTTGCAACGGCAAAGTGAAGTGAGTAGTTGCATTGACGCTGCAACGCGGGGCAAAGGGTATATCATTTACGACTTGAACGGTGGGGGAAATGCATGTGCGGACTGCAGTTTAGAGCTGTGTTTTATGCGATAATAACTACGGGAAGTGAGTTTTGATGGCAGGTATTCCCAAGTAGTTTTGTTGCAATTGGGCGAATACCAGCCGGTTATATTAGCCGTTTATGGTATCATACTCTGTTCTATTTGGTATATTCCCCTGCATTGTTGTTTATGACTTATAATATGGCCGTGTTGGAGTCTACTACCACCCATAATAAATTTACCATTGTCTTATTTAGATATTAAAGTTTAGAAATTTAATGTGCCACCCATCGCTCACCTCCTAAAAATTTACATATCCACACCATAAACTTAATTAACCACACATGAAACTTTTAATTCGACTATGGACAAACATTAAAAAAATACCAGCCCGACCCTGTTTTCTAAAGCTTTTCACACACTCAAGATTTAATTTTAAAGCTTAAACAACCATAAAAGATTACGTTTTAAATAAAATATTTTATTTATTTATAATTTATTGATTAGTGTAAAACTTATTAACTTAAACAAATAATTTGTATGCTAAAGTAATTGAAAATCTATCAATTATCTTACAAATTCAAATTTAACAACCCAACCCGGAGCATTCACCATTTTTGAAACTTTTTTATGAAAAAATCACATCAAAATAATAAATATGTGACGCGCTCCAAAAAAGGGACTTTAACGCTCCAGGGCTAATTTTATAAAAGAAAGAAAAGAACAGCAACACAAACAGAGAATATTTAAAGCGATGTTACATTAAAAATAGAAATATTATTTCTGATTTAAGATAATTAAGGAGCAGCCTTTAATTAATCTATGATCATAATCCTTGTACTGAGCTTAAGTACGTTTCCTTGAAAACTAATCCATGAAAACATTTTCCGTATGCGAATTTTGTTGACTGAATTTTGGTGCAACAGGAACGTTGTTCAATAAACACAACTTAATAAAATTAGATGTATTTATTTTAATACAGAGATGATACTCGGTTAAATGCTAATGAATAACTGATTGAAAATAACAAGAGCAGACTGCCACTCTTACAGAGAAAACTGAGTAGTCAGCCCTTTTTAAATATAAGAAAAAATATGACGCAGTTCTCCGTTTCTTGTGTGGTCTTTGAAAGCACCAAGAAACTTGTATACGTCGCATTTCCTCTTGGTAACATTTTGTTTATAGTATCTAAATATTGTAAATATTGTTTTATAAAACACATTAAATTGACAGTGTTTTATTGCACTACACATGAAAATAAAAACGTATCATTATATAATAAAAATAAGTAAAGGTAAAAATAACGCCGAATTGAACGTGTTCGTTCATACTCCCCCCCTTGAGAGAGTAACGATCAAGTTTAAGTAACATACTATTAATAGGTTTAAGTAACAAAATATAAATAAGTTTAAGTAACATAATAGTAATAAGTTTAAGTAACATAACATTAATGTCATTGTGTATTAACATTGCACAATGTTTAAATTTAATTGATTTTACAATATTTGGTTAGCGAGGAAAAATAAAACATTATCGACTTTAGATCGGAAGGATCGCTAATTTTGAAGAGGGCCTTTTAAAAATACTAGTTTTAGTATGTACTGTGGCCGCTCTTACAATTGTATCTGACCTAGATGTACTTCTTCTATTCGTCCTAAGTTCCATTGCATGCTTTGTAAATTATCTTTGACTAGTACCAATAAATCTACTTTTAAATCTAATTCCTTTCGATTGTTTATTATAACGTATATTTAAATTAGTCAAATATTCATTGTGTCATTTATTATATTTCAAAATTCTTGTATTAATTTATTGATGTTTTCCCACGAACTTAAGCGGTTTATTGGTACTTGTCGATGATTGTGTATACAGTATAGGTAGGCTTTTTAATGAGTCACCAATCAAAAAATGTTCGGGTTTGAGTACTGTGTAATCATTTACATAATATATATATATTATATCGGTGGACATTTGTTTTAAAGGTCTCGAATTGGGAATCGCTTCGATTTGTGTTGTAAAGGTAATAAATTGCATTATTTTATTTTTTTATGCTAATCTTTTAAAATTGTGTGTTCAATTGCTTAACCATAATTTCACTTAAACCGCCGAAATTAGGTGCCTGCGGAGCGATAAAATGACATTGTACATTATGTTTGCTTGCAAATTTTTCGACTTCGGCTTTGAGTTTTTTGTTTCGTAAAAGTTCAAATTCGTTGAGTTTATTATGCGCGCCTCGAAAATTAGTTTCGTTGTCAGAATAATTGTCTTCTGGCAAACCACGTCTAGAAGTAAAACGAATTAAAGCAGCTAAAAAAGATTCGGTTGTCAAATCGCAATTTTGATATGTGCTGCTTTGACTGTCATACCTACAAAGATTGCGACATAACATTAAATGAAACCTAGTGTTTCGACGCCTTTTCTCTTTAATGAAAAAGGGTTCCTAAAAGTCAACTACTACCTTGCGGAATGGCCTTGATTCTGTTACTAGAACGTGATGGCTTAAATAAAAACCCGAATTAATTTTAAAAGCTTTAATTTGAATTGGAGACAAAGGCCCTTGTTAAGGTTAAAGTTTTAGTGTATTTAGCCTCAAAGTTTTTGTTCTTTTTAAATATGTCAATTTTTTAAGTGCAATAGTTTTAGCTTCGCCTAAATTAGTGACTGTTTATCTAAAAGGCAGCGCGAAGACATGTCTGTCATCACTATTTCGGTTAACTGTGACTTGAAGTGATTTTCACATTATATTTCTGCTTTAAACTTTAATTGTTTATCAAACGGTAATTCTTCAATCGTCCAAAATTTTTCTAAATTAAATTGTAATTCCGTCAGCATACATGTAGAATGCGTACTGCTATTAATTGTAGTTACACCGCCGCTTATTACCAACCAAGTTTAGTTTTTTGAAATATTAAATTATTTTCCGGTAGTTTAATCTGACCTGTGCAAAATAAGGAAAGTGATGGTCTAGCCCCGATTAACAAGTCAACCGGTGCTGTTTTTAAAATTCGGTAATTTTAGTTTGAACCGTGTCGCTTGGAGTTGCATGCATCGGTAATTTTTGGTACAATAAAAATGTTAATGATTCTTTAAATTCTGAATATATGGATTGATAAGTTAATTAAGTGTAATAATAAGCAGTTGTATAATACAACTTGTATTTAATTCATTCATAGCTCCAATTGTAAGTGAACATGATTTTTTATTTAAATTAAGTTTATGAGCTAAAATTGCCGTAATAAAGTTATGCATGTGTGAGGTTTGTTAAAATTATTTTATGTTATGACTCGAGTGCTAGTTATCAAATTAAATAAGTTTAAATTTTTTGTTATTGACAAGCATTGATCATTTAGTCAAGCGTTTTGGGGGTTTTCTGTTCTTTTGTCAGACGGACTGTCCTGTAAAGTATAAGATTTTTGTATGTGAAGCAAGTTGTTGTGTTTTTTACCGCAAGTTTTGCAGCCTCCAAACTGACACTCGCTCTGACCATGATGTCTCAAACAATTTTTGCATAACTTTGCCCGTTCTGCAATTTTGATTCGGTTATAAACAGTCGACTCTAGAAATTTACTGCATTTATACAATGGGTGATATTCATTAGAGCAAGCTGGACATATTTTTGCGGTTGTGACAAAGGTTGTAGCAGACTGTTTATATTCGATTTTTCTTGTTTTATTCGGCAAATCGTGATAATTGATTTTATTCGAGGAGAACTTATGTTTTCGCATTGATATCATAGCGGCGGTTTTATACAAAAAATCGTGCATTTTTTCAAGAGTTGGAAATTTATCGCGCTCGCATTCCTTGTCCCAATTTTCGCGAGTTTCCTGAGATAGCTTGTCTTCGATTATTTTTACGACTATCTCCGGACAGGTTGATAATTTAACACCTAAGTTTTCTAACGCCATTATGCTCACTCGCGCTGTGTCTACAAGATTTTCCAGACTTTTGTGATCATTGCAATCTTGCTTAGGCATATTAAGTATTTTTGATAAATGCTCCGCGATCAACGAGCGTTTACTTTCATAGGCCTTAACTAGTGTCTTCCACGCATCATTATAATCGGTTTCCGCATTTAGAAAACCTATTATCTTTTTTTCAGCATCGCCCGAGCACGCGGTTTGCAGTAACGCGAATTTATCCTTGTCGGATAATTCTTCGTCATCGTGAATTAGCGAAATAAAAGTATTTTTAAAATAAAGCCATTTGCTACGATCACCCGAAAAGTTTGGAATTTTTGCATGTGGTAGCTTGAGTTTGCGTTTACGTGAATTTAAAGAGTTACTCGATCCGTTTACCGAGTGAACGCTAATCAAGTCTGAATTATTTTGCATTAAGGGTCCGGAAATAAGCTCTTGAATTTTACTCAATATAGCGAAATAATCGTTCAAAATTTCATTTTTCTCGGTTGAATTATCTGCGTTATCTTCTATTAAAGTAATTTCGTCACAAATTTGATCAAAATTTCCGAAGTTAGTAACAAGTCTTTTTTGGCGTATTTGCAACTCAACGAATT